ACTGTCTACGTAGTTTGAACAGCCACAACTCGTGAAAGAGGGTGATCGCGCACGGATAGGACCCAATTTGTACGTTGTGTGATAGTTCAAAATAATGATTTACGATCGATTTACTGACCGTCCTGCCATGGCGGAGGTAAAAGTACTACAGATGTTTATTTACTGTAACATAACAAGAACAGTACATAATAAGCTATAACAATGATACGGGGACAAGTGGTGACATCTATGGGTAGGCACAGTATTTATTTTATGTTAAGGGTAGAGGCAGTAGTAGCAACAATCAATACGAAACTAACGATTTTAAATTGGCTCACTACTTGACTAGCCTATTGGTCCCAAGCAAACAATTAACGTATCCCATTCTAGTCGAAATTCTAGAACTACGCAATGTTTGTTTTGATTGGCTATGAAAGTTTGACAGTTGAAATGAGGGGTTATTCGTTTTTCCTATGTTTCGAGGGGTGAATCAATTAGCTTGGGACCGAAGAGAGTACCAGAGCTGAGCCAAAAAGTTGAGCACTTTATTTCGGGACCTTCTAGTCTTAGAGTTACCTCTATGGTAGTAGTCGCCTGCACGAACAGAGGGGGTTACTCACTTATGGCGATAAGCTCCAACTCTAAAGGCCGGCGCACAATGGATAAGTTTTCAGGTTTTTTGACAGTTAGCCCATGCATTATCTGTCAAAAAACCCAGAAACTTATACATTGTGCACCAGCCTTAACTGTTATTACCGCCCATGTTTGGATGATCTGCAAAATATTTGCTTAGAGTCGTGTTGACTAACTCTGATGTCGCCATCAAAACAGCTGGGTATTCTTGATCGGGATTTAATCCGACGATAATACCGGTTGGAGCTTACCACCATTAGTGTCTAAAAAATTTATCAAAAATCTGCTCGATTACGGCCGATAAAAGTAACTCAGTACTTGAGTCGATTTCAACTCAAAATTACATTACATTGCGTAGCGCCATTGGGCACTGTGGGGTACCCATTAAGCAAATTCAAAGTGAGCTCCATTTAAATGCAATTTTAGCTATTCACTAAACAGGATTTTAGGGTATTCAAGAAGCTTACTCGTCATTTTTTTTTCCATTTACCATTTTTTTTTGCAATTTTGAGTTACTCTCATTGACCGTGTATTTGTAAAAAACTGAAAAGGCGTAATATTTTTAATTTTTGTTCAAGGAGATTTTTGAGGAAATCGAGAAAAAGTTTACTCATCCAGTGATTGAATATTTAGAGAGAAATCCTATTAAATTTTTAGTTATTCTTATTTTATAACCTCTCAATCGGCTCGCCTCTCTCTCCATGTTCTCTCAATAGTCAGAACAAGCTAGCACGTAATTTTGGTTTGTTGCGGCCAAAAAGTTTGATTGATTTTCTATAGCTTATCAAAGATAAATAACAGTTATCTTTATACCAAACAAATCTTACATCACATCTGAATCAAATGGTGTGAAAAGAATTGAAATCCATCCATATATGGCCAAGTTATAAGCGTTTAAAACCTGACACTATTTCGTCACAATTTTTTGATTTGCACCCCAGTATAGTCCAAAAAGGCCTAGTCCTACCTAGAGGTAAGACGACCACATGGAATATCCCATGATCCTGGCCAATTAAAAGGTTACTATCTTCAGCAAAATTACAGGTGGATTGAGAGATCAATAGAACACAATTTTCTCACTAAAGGTTGTCCACTATGAAATTGCCACACACAAAATTGATTCGCAAAATTCGAGTTTTCATCCGATTGTCATCAAATTTTCAGTCCATACGCAAATGCCCGCACCTTGGCCTTAACCCCGGCCATAAGATTCTGCACAACCTGTGAATCAACCGTTTTTTGCATGTAAACCCATGGGGCGGAGCTCCGGAGTGTTGGGAGGGTTGAACATTTTCGGCACGAAATTGACCTTATTGTCCGCATACCACTTCAGCACGTCCTTGGAGTAGTGGCATGAGGCCAAATCCGGCCAGAAGATTGTTGGGACGTTGTGGGCCTTCAGGAGAGGAAGCAGCCGCTTCTGGAGGCACTCTTTTATGTACACCTGTCCGTTCATCGTGTCCTGGGTCACGAAAGGTGCACTCCGCTTCCCGCACGTGCAGATGGCTTGCCAAACCAGGAATTTCTTCGCAAATTTGGACATCTTCTGAGTGCGGACATGCTCCGGAACGCTGAACTTATCCTTGGCGGTGAAAAACAGGTTGCCGGGGATCTGTTTAAAGTCGGCCTTCACATATGTTTCGTCGTCCATGATGCAGCATTCAACTTTCGTCAGGATGTTGACGTACAACTTCCTGGCACGGGTTTTGGCGGACTTGTTCTGCTTCTCGTCGCGATTAGGGGCCTTTTGTACCTTGAACGTTCGAAGCCCAGCCTTAGTTTTGGCCTTCTGGACAAAACTTCGGCTTAGGTGCAGCTTCTTAGCCACATCCCTAACGGAGGCGTTCGGATTTCGGTTGAAGGCCCCAACTACGCGGTTGTGATTTTTGGTGTTGTACGGAATACTTTTTCCTTCACTTCTGGGCTTCCGATCGGTGGTCAACCGTTCCTCGAACCGCTTAATCACTCGCGACACCGTGGAATTCGCGATTCCCAACGTTTTAGCGATGGAACGATGCGAGAGATCCTTGTTCTCGTGATGAATGCGCAAGATTTTATCACGCACGAGCTGTTCTTTCGACTCCATTTCCGCGAGTTTTGATCACAGGACTTTAAAACTTGCAGGATGTAAATAATGCACTATGAACTAAATCCACCCAAATTTTCATTAAATTCTACCCAACGGTTAAAAAGTTAGAGCAATTTCATAGTGTGGCAATTTCATCGTGGACACCCTTTATGCGGCGCTAATGTGTTAATCAATTTCCGTTATAAAATAGGGGAATTTACGTATTCTCGGCAACCTAAGCAGCGACCTTCTTTCTATAGCCTTTTTCTCTAAGGAACGCACACATATGCAGTATTGGTTTGTTTACAATCTTTTGCTGCCAGCTGCTCTAACAATTTCAGTTGAAAGAATTGTCAAAAACTGTTTTTTTTTTTTATTATTGTTATTATTGTTTATTGAAAATTCAACTGACAAATACTGTCTAAATGAATAAAACTTAAACTAAATAGTTACGGTCAACGGTACGGAAAAGGCCAAGTAGCCGATGACGAAACACGTCAGCTGATACATTGAAGTCGAACATATAAAAAAAGTTGTTGAATTGCCGGCTGATTGCTCGAATTGGCTCGTGTTGTGTATAATTCCGGCTCCGTGGTTCCAAAAACAGAAAGTCGCGTTGACGAAGAGACCTCTCAGGGGCATACATATTTAGTTGTGACAGCAGTGTTGGGCAGTCAATGTCACCTGTAAGCAGCTTTCCGGCGAACATAGCTTGAGCGACCGTCCGTCTCACCTCTAATGGCTCGATTCCCAGGAGACGGCAACGCTCCTCGTACGGTGGCAAGTTCGTTGGGTCACGCCAGTTGAGGAAACGAAGAGCATATCTCACAAACTTGCGTTGAACGGATTCAATTCTAGTGATCCAGCTAGCATGGAAAGGGCACCAAACAACTGAACTTGACTCCAATAAGGATCGCACAAGCGAGCAGTAAAGTGACCTGAGACATAGCGGGTCACGAAACTCGTCGGCAATTTTGAAAATAAAGCCCAATTGTCGATTAGCTCTGGAGATGATGTCATTGTAGTGGATTCTGAAAGTGAGTCTGCAGTCCAAGGTAACGCCGAGATCCTTTATGTGCTCTACACGAGCAAGACAGCGTCCGTAGAGAACATAGTCAAACATGATTGGTTCAATTTTTCGGTGATATGAAATAATGTTACATTTTTCTATGCTTAGACTCATCAAATTTCTTGAGCACCAGTCAGCAAAAATACCTAACATATTCTGGAGATCCCAGCAGTCCGAGAGGCTTTTAATAATTTTGTAGATTTTCGTATCGTCTGCATAGAAAACGCGGCATCCAAATGGTATCAGCAAGGCGACATCGTTTAAAAAGATCGAAAATAGTAGCGGTCCTAGGTTACTGCCTTGCGGGACTCCCGAGTTGTTTGAGAAAACATCCGATTCCGACGCGCCAATCTTGACATGTACATAGCGATTCACCAAGTAAGATCTGAACCAATCCACAGCAGTTGACGAGATGCCAAGTATCTCCAGCTTGGCCAGCAGGATATTATGGTCCACCGTGTCAAATGCAGCTGACACGCTTTTACAAAGCTCCAATCTTCTCTAGTGAGAGCGAGTATTGTCGGCAACCAGTTTTTCTTCGGCAACCGTTCCATTTGAGCTGCATGTAAATCTACTGTTCTATTATCGGCAACTCGAAATCAGCTACAATTTGTAGTGCGTGTGTTTCATTTCAAGAAAACCTTGCTAGATTGCTTTTTCTCAGTGGTAAAAATATAGTCAAATTGAAACTGAAAGCATAAAGAATCGTTTGCATGCATTCAGCGAAGTGTTTTCGTAAGAAAATCCAGTGAAAATAGTGTTTCAATTTGGGTTGCCGAAAATAGTCTGGCATGCCGAAGCCGTCATTTCCCGTATATCTTGAGATCTTTATTATTTCGAAAGTTTTTTTCTTCAGAAAAGTTGTCCAGGTGGCCAATGTCTTCTAATGTGTGGGCTGGATAGTTCAGAATGTTCTCACTACGCAACACTAGTCTGCGTGTGGACTTAACGTAGATGTCCTAACTTCGTAGATGGTGAGGATTTAAGATATAGCTTAAAGATACAGGAAGTTCACATGTACATTAGCTCCGCGTAGTGAGATAATTCCCAAGTTAAAATAAGATATGGCGAACAAATTAAGTAATTGGACAAACAACCAAATTTGGTCACTTGCGGAACATCAAATATTTGACATTTGCACAAATAGAACACTGATTATCTCACCAAAACCAGCCACACACATTTTAATTAATAAAAAGCACGCATTGAATGGTATTGATTTACATTTCCATACGATCACCTACTTTCCAGTAACACCAAACAGACAATTCCTTCAAAACGGATAACTTAGCAAGGAAGCAACCGTAAGAACTCACCTCCCCCCGGATATTCACACCATGGACAACGATGGCCTGTCCAATGAGCAGACGGAGAAGGTGCTGCAATTCCAAGATATCACCGGTCTGGACGACATCAACGTGTGCCGGGACATTTTGATTCGACATCAGTGGGATCTGGAGGTGGCATTCCAGGAGCATCTGAACATCCGCGAAGGACGGCCATCTGCCTACGCTACCGAGTCCCGGGCACCACAGGTCGTCAACGATCGCTTCCTGCAGCATGTATTTGCCGCTCAGCGAGGTCCCACCGTCCCAGTGCCATCCGGCGTCGGTGGAATGATTGGCTTCGTGGTCAATTATGTGTTCAACTTTTGCTACAGCACGCTGTCTTCGATAGTGACCGCATTCCTCAGTTTATTCAAGGATCGAGAGCGAAGTAAGTCTTGATTTTTTAATTGATTTCTGTTCGTGTAAATTATATTTTTTTTTCTCCGTTTCACAGTTGTAACCGATCCCTTAGGCGATGTTTTGACCTTCATTCAAAACTACAATGAAAAATTCCCGGAACATCCGGTATTCTATCAGGGCACATACGCTCAAGCATTGAACGATGCTAAGCGCGAGCTCAAATTCCTCCTAGTCTATGTTCATTCCGAGTCAAAAATGGAGACGACCAGTTTCTGCAGAGATACACTTTCCAATCCCCAAGTTATTGAGTACATCAATCGACGGATGCTCTTCTGGGCGTGCGACGTGTCCGCTCCGGAGGGATACCGTGTATCGCACTCCATCAATGCACGGATCTATCCGGTGCTGGTTATTATTGCTCTGAGAGCAAACAAGATGGTCATAATGGGCCGCATGGAAGGTTACTGCAATGCCGAGGAACTGATACGGCGCATGGAAACGGTAGTGAACGATAACGAAGTATGGCTCAATCAGGCCCGTTCGGAACGGTTGGAACGAGATCTCACACAGACTCTGCGACAGCAGCAGGATGAAGCATACCAGATGTCCCTGCGAGCCGATCAGGAAAAGCAACGTCGGAAACAGGAAGAACGTGATGAAGTCCTACGCGCCCAGCAAGTAATCGAAGCAGAACTACTAGCCGAGCAGCAAAGATTAGAAAACATCGAGAGGCTCAAACTGGAATTGGCTTCACAAGTGCCTTCCGAGCCGGAACCGGGCGCACCCGGTACGATCAGTATAGTCTTCAAACTTCCCAGTGGCCTACGGTTAGAGCGAAGATTTCACTCGTCCAACACCCTTAAGGTAATAAATATACTTTATTATTCTACCTACTACCTATCACCTAAGAATCATCCTAATTTTCCCACAGGACGTCCACAACTTCATCTTCTGCCATCCGGATGCCCCGGATTCATTCGAGGTCACAACCAACTTCCCGAAACGTGTGCTACAATGCGAGGCCAAAGATGACGAGACGACACTACCCACTCTGGTAGATGCTGGTTTGAAAAATCGTGAAGTGCTGTTCGTAGCGGATTTGGATGCATAGAGAACGCGAAGAACCGAGCATAATAGTCCTGTAAGCAAAGCGAACGATTGTTAAGATTAGGAAGAATCTTGAGACTGTGTGGAGGATGTGTGAAATCATGTACTGCTAGTGAATTGGCAAACGGTGTCACGAATGCAGAGTATCCTTTTCTTCAGTACATATTCAACTGCTGTGGGATGTGTCTTCTCTCTGTTCTTTTCCAAACGGCTGAAACATTTCTATCGGATAATCATTTTCAAAGTATGTATACACAAAACAAACATTGGGCACCCAGAAATTACCTACAATTCGTATTGAAAAAAAGCAAAATCGTGTAAAAAGCTTCGAAATTATTTACACCATTTGATTGAGAATACATTCTTTTTTTTTTTGCAACCTCATTTTCTAATCGGAAGTAACAAACAACAACAAGTGCAGTTGAGCCCTACAAGTGAAAATCGTTGTTTTTTTATTTAATAAATAGTTTACGCAAATGATCCTTATGTTTACTTAACAACAAACCCTACCCTCTGTGGGGGAGAAAAAATAATCGTTTCGTTATATTTTGAAGTGGATTCCTTATTTTCCTCTAACTTATTTGAAATCGTAATAAAAGTGATTTATCTTAAAACTATCCTTTTATCTCTTGAAAATAACAGTTTTTTTAATGTCACAAACACACTCTCATATATTAAATATAATAGGGATCTACCGACCCGACGAAATCGGATATCCTCTACTCAAGAGGCTACCAGTACCAGGACAGCTACGGATGCTAGACCTCTTCAACAACGGGTACCCAGCAGTGTGGAAGGAAAGTTTGGTAGTTCCCATCCCGAAAGCCGGGGTAGCCACCCGCGAAGTCAGCAAGTTCCGTCTAATAGCGCTAACATGTTGTTTGGCCAAAGTCCTGGAGCGTATGGTCAATCGAAGACTGAAACAATACCTCGAAGCTGGAAATCGTCTTGATCACCGACAGCGCGCTTTCCGACAAGGTTTCGAAACGTCCACCTATTTCGCAACCCTAGGGGAAGTTCTCAAGAACGCCTACGACAGCGGTCTGCACACCGAGATAGTATCGCTCGACATATCGAAGGCCTTCAACAGAACGTGGACGTCCCTCGCCCTTAAGCAACTAACCGACTGGAGTCTCAACGGACCCATCGTTCACTTCATCCAGAACTTCTTGTCCAACCGCTCATGCCGAGTCGCAGTCGGCAACACCAAATCGCGGCTCTTCCCCGAGGAAACGGATGTCCCACAAGGATCAGTTATCGCCGTTACCCTGTTCCTCGTGGAACGGAATCTTCTGTCAACTACCGAAAAACATATATGTGATCGTCTACGCCGACGACATCCTCATCGTCACCACCGGACCCACGCTAGTACGTACAAGGATGAGAGCCCAAGCGGCAGCTTCCGGCAGATGTCAATTTTCCACTTCTACTCATCATCGAGCCCATTCCGTAGATACTCATAATGCAAGGGTTTAGATGCATATACGCTGTTCGGGGGCCGCCATATTGGATTTTGGTCCACCATCTTGGATTCCAAAATGGCGGCTTATATCGATTTTCCACTTTTACTCATCGAGCCCATTCTGTAGATACTCATATTGCAAGGGTTTAGATGCATATACACTAGAGTGATGCAAAATTTGAAATTTTCGCTCCACAATACTTAAACGATTCCAAATTGGATCCTGACTAACCTCTCAAAATTTGAACCCATTTGGTGTGAAACTGAGATGGCACAAACCATTTGAAGTTTGTATGGGAATTACTATGGTAAAACCAAGATTTTTATTCATGTCTATCTAATAATTCACCATATCGGTCTACAACTTTGCTGAAAACCACTTTTTGATTAAATGCAAGAATCGAAAGTTATCAATGGTTCAATGCGCTGATGTCTTATGATCATGCTCAATCAACTGCCCAGCAGGCAACATTGGTGTTTCTGGGCGTTGAATAATACACCAAAATCATGGCTACTATGTCACACTGCAATATACAGTGTTGCCTACAGAGCAGCTGCTTGATCATGTCATAAGTTTACCAATCTCTTAAATAATTAATAACTTTTTCCTGTCTCGTTTTACATAGAAACGATCTTCGGCAAAGTTGTAGCTGAGAAAATTTTCTATAAGAATGGTTATTGAACTGTTTCGCAGCTCAATATGGAAAAAGACTAGAGGGCAATGAACAAAAAGTTGAGATTTCTCATAATTATTTACATGTAAACTTCAAATGGCTTGTGCGAAGTCTGTTTCTAACCAAAAGAGTTGTTACTTTGGGAGGCTAATTTGCATCAGTCTAATAGCGAATTTGTTTATTATCGGGGTTGGAACCAGTTCCAACGCAGTGTGAAACCGAACTTTTTGTCAGTGCGAACCTGAACCTGAGGTAGGTTTTAAAAACAAACGATCAAACTGACGTTTGTCAGAAAACAAGCAGAGCCGATCTTGATACCCGATCCAGGTTGGAACTGAATAATAAACAAATTCGCTATAATATACACTGACCGGAGGTCGCCATATTGGATTTGTGGAAGCCATCTTGGGTTGAAATCCACCATTTTAATTTCATCCGGAATGTTGACTTGAATTTCGGAATGCTCCAAGCTCTAGAATTAAACATATCTTCTAATCCTATGATTTTCGATGACGTTGATCTTAGTTGATATAGATGCTGGTTGATTTTGGGAATCGAAAATCACGGTTGATATTGGTCGAAAATCATGTGTGTGATTTTCGTGGTGATCATGGCTTGTGATATTGGTGCCAGTTAGTATTTGGCCGCTTCTTTTTAATTACTGTATAGCGTTTCTAGTTGTCGTAGCAAGAAACTATTGACAGCGTTTTGATCCGGAAGGATTGTTTATTTAGTAGTTGTTCCGTCTCCGCCGAAAGTCAACTGATACGAGCACGACCAACAAGCAGCGAAGAACGAGACCATCAATAGGCTACAACATCCACCAATCAGCGACGACCACATCAACGCTCGCCGCTTTAAAAGAGGCATGCATCACCGTGCAAAACAAGAGTTCTTTTCCGACCAAGCACCAGCAAACATCAGCAGCAGTAGAAGCAGAATTTGTAGAGAGAAAGAGGAGAGAATAAACAGTTGTTAGCGTAGCCGTCCCGATCAAGTTTATTTTGCACACATCCCTGGTTTGGAGCAGCGTCGAACCCACCAGCTCTTTTCAGAGCCCTTACGAGTTGATTTCCGATCGACGCTTGCTTCCTCCACCACCCTGCCGATACAGTCCACTACCGAAAGGGAAAGTTCCCTCCCAGTCCGAACATAATTTGGTTCATCCGAACCGGATCACGAGCCAAGAAGCTTTCGCCGTGAAAGTTTACGCATAGATGTTCCTGCCAACTGGAACGAAGCCGATTTCCCACCGAAAGAAACGGACGTGCTACGCTAGCCAAGTACCAAACAAACAAAACTACTTCCGCTGCTGCCGATGACAGCATCGTGTGCGAAGTATACAAAAAAGTGAATCATATGAGTGAGCGTTCGCGAAAAACAATATTCCGAAAAGTGAATCGCATGCGTGTGATAGTTTACTACGCGTTCCAAAGATGACCGATGTGGAAAGGTTGATCGTACTTCGTGGCTTAGTAGAGGCGAAGGTAACGCGAATCCTGAAGGAAGTGCAAGAAACCGATATCACCATGCATCCGGTGCTGTGTAACAGGCACGCCAGGAACCTCCAGCGGTATTACCAGGAGTATCAATGGTTGCACAACAGAATTATGACCGCCATCTCTGCAGAGAAATTTGATGAGCAGGATGAGGACTACCTGCGTTTCGATGATCTCTACACCGAGGCCTGTATACTGGTGGAAACATTGCTGCTTGCCTTTCCAACTACCGATATCAGGCACCACCAACACCGAACACCATCACCGGCCACAAGCAAACCATACGCTCGGATCGTCCAAAATCAACCAATGACTCGAATGACGGAACAGCCCGTTCCGATTCCACACGCGATGGAACTGCCATGTACGTTATTGACGATAAAGTTGCCACCGCAGCGTATGTCGTACCCGATCCAAACCATCGATGTGAAAACGATTGTGAATCAATCCACCGAAACGAAGTCGATCAAGAAGTCAACTGAAGTGGATAATCCAACCGAACTCTTGAAGGCGAAACCCATGATTATGCCGTTGAACTCCCATTGTGGACCGACCGAGGTCCGGCTAGTCGATGATTCACCTCCACCTGCCAGTGTGGCCGAGTACGGTAATCCTGCCGATACTGAAACCAAGCTGACAAGTACGATTGAAGATGAGGTTCCAACCGAAGCTGCCTATGTTAAGCTCAACTCTGCGTGCAAGCCAAATTATCTTCCTCGTGGATTGACAGAGGACCGTTACGTCGAGAATTCAGCCAAGTTCGTAGAAGTCAAGCCTAATAACATGGCAAGTGAACCAACCGAGTGCCATGTCAATAAGGACTCACCTCAAGTCATGGATGTAAAACCGAAACGGTTTAAACCTCCCGAAACAACCGAAGTCAATCCGAAGCTATTCCAAGACGACTTTCAAGCCATCGAACCGAAGTCCGTCGCAGCTGGTGAAGTTCCGAAAACAATCCTAACCTCGACTGGAACCAGACCGGTCTTGAATTGTATCCCCGTCGGAAACCATCCGGTGTTGATGTCTTACCCGATGTCTGCTGGAATCCTTCCAGTAATCAAGCCATTGCTGAGGACCGCCAGAACCTATCCGGTGGTCCAACCGTCCCCGATGTCTGCTGGAATCCGTCCGGTGGTCAAGCCATTCTCGATGTCTGCCGAAACCAATTCGGTGGTCAAGCCATTCCAGATGTCCGCCGCAATCCAGCCGGTGGTTAAGCTCTTCGTGATGTCTACCGGAATCCGTCCGGTGGTCAAGCCATTATCGATGTCCGCCGAAACCAATTCGGTGGTCAAGCCATTCTCGATGTCCGCCGAAACCAATTCGGTGGTCAAGCCATTCCAGATGTCCACCGGAATCCAGCCGGTGGCCAAGCCGTTCCTGATCTCCACCGGAATCCAGCCTGTGATCAAGCCCTTCCTGATGTCTGCCGGAACCAATCCGGTGGTCAAACCGTTGTCGATGTCCGCCGGGACCAATCCGGTGGTCAAACCGTTCTCGATGTCCACCGAAACCAATTCAGTGGCCAAGCCGCTCCTGATCTCTACCGGAATCCAGCCTGCAATCAAGCCTTTCCTGATGTCCACCGGAACCAATCCGGTGGTCAAACCGTTCTCGATGTC